GGTTTGGGCTTGGACCTTGTCAATTATTTTTTGGAATCCAAATTTGTGAAAATTAACTAATATTAATTAATTAATCATGAGGTGTCATCTACTGAAACTTAGTCTTAACCTAGTTATTGACTGAGTTTTACTTGTTCTTCTAGAGTCAACCTGTGACTTGCTGACCAAGTAAATAATGGTCAACAATGGATCAAATTTTTTTCCACTTTATGCCACGAATTTCCCTCCATTCAGGTGATATCCTCAATTATAAATAACAACATTTCCATCACTTGTTCCTCACTCAAGATTTCAGCAATACGAAATCTATATTCTCTTTCGTCTCCATTTTTTCTAAATTTTTTCTTTTTCATTTTTCAAATGGTTTGTCTGAACCATTAATGTCTAGTTCTTGCCAGAAACTACGAGTGGTTTTACACCATCATCGAGCAGTTTTAATTTCATCAAAGGGTGTAACTCTAGAACGATTACCTACAATGCAAGTATTAATCGTATAGTTGAACTGAGTTGTTTTATCTTCGAGGCGTCGTGATAGTTTGACCGCTTTACATAATTTTAGACAATGTCAAAAAACATTTTAAAGAGAGCAACCTAATCCACAATTTGACCCGATAATTCCTTCTATGCTTATTTTTAAAATCTAAAAACAACACCTTGTCTTAGAAATAGTGAATATATCCTATGATAATATTTTAAGACTTGAACCTAACCTATAATCTATTATACAATTTTTTTTTTGTCTGATTTGGTTTTTTTATTAAAATTCTATTTTACATTAAAACTTTCCAATAGTCTATATTCTCTATTTTTTACCTAGACAACAATATTTTTTATACACTATTTAGGCTATTTTTTTAATAGATATGTATATATAAGCTGATATGGAACATATATTACAACGATGCCTTAGTTATATTGTAAGTTATGTATCTTATTGGCTTTTGTCATCATGCTTTGAATATTGTTTATCTTGTAAAGTGATGGTATTTTGGTTAAAGTTGTAACCTTTAGGTGTAATGGTGACTTTTCTAACTTAAAACATTCTTTCTTATTGCAATGAAGGTATTGATTGGCATTCCAATCTTAGGCCTGAACAAAATCTTGTTAGTGGTGGAAATCTACCTCGATTGATAATGGATTCCTATGAAGAATGTTGCGGTCCCCAAGAATATTCCTTCTGGTGGATAAGTATGCTGGTCTTTTTTATCAGATATATATGATTTCAACATAAATAAAACATTATTATTTTATGATAGATGTTTGAAAAATTTTCTTTTTGGCTTTTTTCTGTCTTATTTAAAGGTTTGACGTGGACATGCTATTGAAGCAAAATTCGGAATTGTAAATTGAAGATATGATAGGTGGATATGGATAGATTCAGAAGATATACATGTTCAATCTGAAGAATTTTCAGAAGAATGAAAAGAGAATATTGTGTGTAATTTAAAGAGCTTGTATGGTCTGAAACAAATTTCAAAACTATGGTATATTAAGTTTGAAAGCTTCATGCACAAGGAAGGTTTCAAGAAGTGAAACACCGATAATTGTTGTTTCTTCAAAAGATATAAGTTATATTATATTATTTTATTACTTTATGTTGATGATATATTTCTAGCGGATTCAAATATAAACGAGATCAGAAATTTGAAGATGTGACTGTCAAAAGAGTTTGACATGAAAAACTTTCTATAAAAAGAATCCTTGATATGTAAATCACAAGTTATAAGCAAAAAGGAATTTCTATGTTATTTCAATCAGAGTACAAAAACTATACTTTGCAAATATTTAGCACATATTTAGCAAATCGTTTTATCCTATCTAAGGACCATTCGCTTAAGACGGAAGAAAAAATAAAATTCATGGCTAAGGTTTTGTATACTTCAGCCATTGAAAGTTTAATGTACACATTGGTCTATACGAGGCTAGACATTGACCATACATTAGAAGTTGTTAGTGGCTTTAAGTTGAATCTAGAGAAAGTTTATTTGAAAACATTAAAGTGGATTTTGAGGTATGTATGAGACATTATTAAAAAAATGTATAATTAATAAGTCTTTTAATTTAATTTAATATTCTATTTTAATTTTTTAATTAAAAAATGTTACAAGTTAATTCTTTAACTTCACTTTCATTATCTTATTTGTAGGAGTGTTCATGGGTGCGGGTCGACCCGCAAACCCGCCTACCCAAACCGAACCAACCAACTAATTACTCGGACCCATTCATTTACGGGTATACCCGACCCAACCCGTATAGATTTGCTTCGGGTATTGGGTTTTAGTTTCTAAACCCATGAACCCGTTGACCCAACCCGTTGACGTGACATAATTAATTATTATTATTATTATTATTATATTATTTATAAATTTTAAAGTTGCTATAACTTTGTAAATTGTAACGTACACAAAGATCTTTTGCACTTTTCTTCCAGTTTCCAATCACACATTAAATTATTATTATTATTATAATTAAACATTATTATTAATATTAATCATGTTTGTTTGACTTATGCACTTCTAGTTTACACTTTACTGCCTTTTATTTTTTTAATGAATCTTTATTAACTAATAATAATTAAGTATATATTAGAAACTTACTAAACTAAAGACAATACCACTTAACCTAACCCTATTTTTTTACTACGGCAAATCTCAAACGTCACCACTCCTCTTTCTCTCACGATTTTTTTTTTCATTTTACTCTCTCACATTCCAATTTCATCTTGCTTTCGAAAATCCACAGTCTATACTTTGACTCAAAATTGGATCAAATCTCCTAAGTTCATTGATTTAGAAAAAGAGTTGGTTGAATTGGAAAAAGTTGAGTCAGGTATGAATTATATGTTTGAATTTTAAAATCTATTTTATTTTAGTATTACATTACATTATTCTTATTAGTTGTTTGTGTTTACATATATAGAGTTAGCTGGATTAGTTTCTATTGATGTTGGCATTACTGCGGTTGAGCTCAATACAACTGTTACTACTAGATTTTAAGGTATTTTCTAGTGTTGTTTTTTTTCTTCTTCTTTTGACTATTGTTGCTTAAACTTTTAACTGTTGTTGCTGGATTTTATGTTGTTGCTAAACGTTTCATTGTTGTTGCTGGAATCTTTTACAGCTACTGTTGCTGGATTTTCTGTTGTTGCTAAACCTTTCACTGCTGGTGCTGGAATCTTTTATAGTTGCTGTTAGATTTTGGTGCTATTAGACCAATATTGGACCAATACATCTATGTCATTTTAAGACTAAGTGATGTTTATTTGCTTTTGAATTACTTAGAATTTATGAATTTTATGGAAATGATATTTTATGGAATTTTATATATTATTAAGTGTTAATATATATGATAGTTTACGGACCTACTTTTAAGCATGTGCTAGAAAAGGTAACATTTGAGTATCAAAACAACTAATATATACTGTATATTATTATATATTTGTTTTACATATGTTGATATATATTTGTAATGGATAACATTTGAGTATCAAAATAACTAATAAATTTTTATAAATTAAGGTATATTAATGAAAATATATAAATAATTAATGGTGTATATGTATCTTAATATTTTTTATGACAAAGAAAATACATTTCAAAATTTTAATTATTATATTTTTAATTATTCTATTTTATATGTAGGATTTGTCTCCACTACATAAATAATTTAATTGTTTGAAATATGCAAAATTATATTGAATTGTGTTATAGATTTTTTAAATTGAAAATAATAATTATTATATACACAACCCGTGGACCCAACCCTACCCAACCCGTAAATATTCGGGTTTATTCGGGTCGGTTTTTAAAGTAGAATTACGGGTTTGATGGTAAACCCAACCCATTGAAAGTTGAACGGGTTGGGTAACGGGTTAAGGCGAACCCGGTCCAACCCAACCCGCGTACACCCCTACTTATTTGGTCTTTTTCGTTAATTTCTGACAAAAAATTTAAATTTCAGTAACGTAACGTGACAACAAGGTCATTGGTATAAATCTGAATCATCGTATGTAGTTAAAAACGGATACACTGCAAGAATTTTGTGTTATGCTGGCAGAAAAAAAACGCTAAGTTCGGGTGACATGGAGTGACACTATTGCGCACAATATTTTATAATGTTATTCATTTTAATAAATATACTAAAGTGCCATCTTTTTTAAAAAAACTGAGCTTTTGTAATAAGGTTGTTGTCCTTTCAATGGAAAGAATAATCTAAAAATTAAAGGTGTCTCGCCTTTTCAATGGGCGGCAGTAATTATGTTTTTTTTTAATTATATTTATTTTTGTTATTATGTTTTAATTAATTAATTATTTCCCTTGTTGAAGGTGAGACGGTCGAAGGTTGTGGGTTTTTTCTACGGAACTTGAGGAGGCATGTTGCACCACAACCAGACTTATGTTTGATTTCAGATTGACATGCATCGATTGAAAGTGCATACAACAATCCGGAAAATGATTGGCATAATCCTCCAGCGGTGCATGTTTATTGTATCGGACACATTGCGCAGAATTTTATGAGAGAAATCAAGGACAGGAACCTACAGAAAAAAGTAATTAACATAGATAAGTATATTTGATAGCATTAAATCTTTGTAGGATATGCTTTAAACCAACCAAAGTTTAATTATTACCGATCTGAAATTGGCATGGCGAAATGTTGATGCTTTAAGGTGGGTTGACAATATTTCAGCCGAAAAATGGACGAGGGTATTTGACGGGGGTCGACGTTGGGGTCACATGACTACCAACCTTGTTGAGTCAATGAATTTTGTCTTTAAAGGCACCCATTATTTGCCCATTACATCATTGATAAGTGACATATATTATAGACTGGGATCGTTATTGGCTGAAAAGGGTGCAAAGTGGAGTGCAGTGTTGAATTATGGCCAAACAATTACAGACAACTTTCTCAAGGTGATGAAAGAAGAAACAACAAAATCCAGCACACATCAAGTTAGAATTTTTGACTACACTAACAATATTTTCAGTGTGAATGAGACAATGGACCACGGTGAGGGGAAGCCTATGGGACATTATAAGGTCAACCTACTAAACGGTTGGTGTGACTGTGGAAAGTTTCAGGCATACCGTGTTCCTTGCTCACATGTTATCGCTGCATATTCTAATGTGCGCCACGACGCTTATGCTCTTTTGTCCGACGTTTACAGGGTTGCAAACCTGTTTGGGGTTTACAACACAAGCTTTCCAGTGCTTCCATACGATGAATATTGGCCCATTTATGAAGGAGATCAAATTTTCCATAACCCAAGAATGCGGAGGAACAAGAAAGGTCGCATAGTAAGCACGCGTATTAGAACGGAAATGGATAAAGTTGATAAGTTTGAGAGAAAATATTCCATGTGTCGTCAAACTGGTCACAACCAAACCCGATGTCCCAATGTGGGAACAAGTAATCGTTAGTGTTTTATTTTATTATCATGTATTGTTTTCATATTAATATCAAACTTCTCAATTTTCTAGACCATTAATCATTGAGTACCAAATATCAATGGCAACAAATCAAATATCATAAATCAAACAACTTTATGCTTCATTAAATAACACAACACATACATAAATAACACCGCATAAATCAACATAGATAAAAATACTTTAAAACAACATTTAACAAAATTTCTCTAACTGAGTACAATTATTAGTTTAATTTCATTTTGTCCAAACATCATTTCCCTCGCTTCCTTATCATTCTTGACTCGCACCCACCCACATCGAACATCGTACCTCTCAATACTTCCAATTTTATCCCCTTCTGATATGTCTCCTTCTAACCAACCCTTCAACTCTCTCTGTAGTTGCTCTAAACTATAGATGTTCCAAAAAAACATATCCATATCTGGTTTGTCTTTCGAAAAAATCACTTTCCCGTAGCGGCAAAGATACATCTTCAAATTAATAGAAGAAATTTAAAATAGATGTGAAAATTAGTTCACACCACACCTCTATTTATATCAGTGTCGGCACTGTACATAAATAATAAAATACTCAATGGTTCCACCCATTACAATGTCGGTATTGTACATAAATAATAAAATATTCAAAGGTTCCGTCCATTGGAGTGACGGTGTTGTACATAAATAATAAAATATTCAAAGGTCACGTCCATTGTAGTAACAGAAATGTACATAAATAATAAAATAGTCAAAGGTTCCGCCCATTGCAGAAACTGAAGTGTACTACAATAATAAAATAATAGTTTTATTGTTAATATTAATTTATATTATTTATTGTTAATTATATTAATAATCAATATTAGTTACAATTTTTAATATATTCATAATAACATTAATTGTTAATATATTAATAATAATTATATTAACATAATTTTATATTGATAAATAACATTAACTAATATTATTACTTAATTTTATTATATATTATTCATTTATATAATAATGTTAATTATTAATATATTCAATTAATTATTTTAATTAACATATATTAATGTTAATAAAACTATATTTATTGTTAATATATTAATATTAATAATATTAATTAATATATATTAATATTAAACTTCTTTTATATTAATATATATTAAAAAATATATATTAATATTAATATATATATTTGTTAGATATCAGAATATTCCGTATTATGTAAATAGAATATTCTGTAAGTAATTAGGATATCGTGTAAATAGGAAAGAATATTATGTAATTACTATGGCATTTATTTCTCCTATTATATATAATGAGCTCCGCTGTATAATTCAAACACATCGATTCAATCCAACTTTTCTCTTGTTTTCTCATTATTTAACATGGTATCTAGAGTCTAACAAGAGGAAACCCAAATCTGTGCTTTCCTGATAGACCTAGTGTCTATTAGCGCCAAAAAAAATTTTGGTAAGCGTGTTTCACCTTTGGTTTTCGGCTTCTCTCGTGGACGCCTCTCCTCTCCTCGGATCTACAATTGTTTCGTACCTTTAGGCTTCAACGTGTTCTAGATATCCAAATTCCCTCTTAGATCTACGGTTTTTTGGTCACTTCTCTTACCATCTTTGGAACCCATGGCTGCCAATCCCCCTCCAAGGGCTAAGGCCCTTATTTTCACAACTTACATCACTACTCCTCTTGTTGTTGACAAAATGGACGGTACTAACTATAATTCATGGGATTCCAACGTCAAGTTATGGCTCCGGGGACAAGCCTATAATGATCACCTCACTACGAAGGTTGACTTGGAAGGTGCCACTAATAGTGCTCATTGGAAGAAAATTGATGCCCAACTCTGCAGTCTCATTAAGTCGACCATTAGTTCATCCTTGAAATATATCTTTCTTTCTCATGAGACTTGCGAGTCTGTTTGGGCACATGCTAAGATCCTTTATACGAATGATACACAACGCTTATATGGAATATGTCAAAATTTGCAGAATATTATTTCCCCTCGTCGCCTGGATGGTTCTATGGCTGAATACTTAGGTCGTGTTCAAGGCCTCCTTCATGATTTCAATGAATTGTTGCCCCAGCTGCCACCACTGCTAAGGAACTTGAGCAACGCCGATCCTTCTTCATTCTTCTAGCTCTGTAAGGCTTACCTTTAGAGTATTCATCAGTTCGTGATTAGATATTGGAATCTCCTATAATCCTCATTCTAGATATTGCATGGTCTACCTTACTATGTGTCCCAGCAAAATCATCATCTGATGGCAGAGTGGCACCTACACCAGTTGATTCATCTGCTTTGGTTTCTCAGGGAGGCAATCATGCTTCGGGTGGTAATCGTGGCCACTTTCAAAAAACATGAAAGCCTCATTCTAAGTATGATCATTATCATAAGCTTGACCACACTATTGATCGGTGTTATGCTTTACATGGACGTCCTTCTCCTCGGACTACCCATGTTGCCCAAACTGCTCCACCTCCACAGGCAGCTACTCCAACCGATTCTGCCACCTCACCTGTTATCTTCAACGACTTTATCAAGTGGTATGAGGAGCGTCAGGTCACTAGTTCCACTTCCTCTATTGCGCACATGGGTAATTCTTTTGCTAGTCTTTCTCACTCCACATCTATTGGCCCATGGATCTTGATTTAGGCGCCACTGATCACATTATTGGTAATAAATCCCTTTTTTCTTTGTTCTCTACTTCTGGTTTATTACCCTTTGTCACATTTGCAAATGGCTCCCAAACTCAATCTCAGGGTACCAGTACTATCCACCTTTTCCCTTGCTTTCCATTACTAATGTTCTTTATGTAACCGGGTCTTCAATTAACTTATTGTCTCTAAGTCGTTTAACTCGATCTCTTGATTGTACTATCTCATTCACCAAAGATTCTTTTTTCTTACAGGACTGGAGTTTGAGACAGATGATTGGCATCAGATGTGAGTCTAATGGTCTTTATCTTCTTCAACCTTCTGCACAAGCTGGTTCTATGGTGGATTCTCCTATCCTGGTTCATGATCAGTGATCAATGGTTTTTATGCATTATTTTACCGATAATTTGAGTTAATGTTTTTATATGCTTAGTTGCATTTTATTTGCTTTTATCGCATTTTATGCGTTGGTTTGGTATTTCCATTGTTTTTAGGTTCAGGTAAGCAATCAGGAAGAATCGAAGCGAAAAAGTGGACAATACAGTATGTTTGAAAATGAAATTGGCAAGCTACAGAAGGCCTGACACGGCCACCCGTGTTGCCTGACACGGGTCGTGTCAGGAGGATATGCGTGACCAAGAAAAGACGCAAGAAAGAGATTCCAGGGGGCTGGCACGGCCACCCATGTCAGCTGACACGACCGTGTCAGCATGCTTGGAACAGAATGGGAGATTCCAGTGGGCTGACACGGCCGCCTGTGTCAGCTGACACGACCATGTCAACATGCCTGGAACAGAAAAGGTTGATTCCAGATAAACAGAGAGCCAACACAGCCCGTGTTTGTTGATGCGCTTCATCTTCCAATTTTCGTATTTTTTGGGCCTTTGTGATCCCTATGGGTATCTTGGGTATTTTCCTATTACTATGTTGAACCTAGGAGTATTTAAGACAAATTTTGAAAAGGAAAACCAGACCTTTTGGCCAGAGAAGAATTGCACTATCAGGATTAGAGAGATCGAGGTGATTGGGGAACTGCAGATTTTTATGAGCGGAAGCCACTGAAGATCCAAGAACCCTCTTATCTTGTAATGTCTAGTTTTTATTTTGTAATTTCATTGAATATTATGAGTAGCTAAACCCCTAATGCTAGGGGGTGTCCTTGATTTGAATCTGTAATGACTCTGATATTATTATTACACTGGCATTTCCTTTGTTTTCATAACTGATTTGATCTCTAGCTATTCTTAATGCTTGCCCTGTCGGACCAGCAGAGTTTGATTTACAATTAATGATTAGGCTGGACGCCGTTGTTAAGGTTTTGCTTTTGATCATCCTATAGTAGATATCACCTAGGACTAGGGATACCCTATAGGAACCATAATAATTCTTGATAATTAATTGCTTAATCTCACTTATAATTCTTTATGGACGTAGGAATTATGGTAGATGATTAAAGGTTTTCTCACTAAGGACTTAGGAGTAAACATTCTAAAGAATCGATAATTTAGTTACAATAATTCGTTGCATGTTAATTCAGAGTTGTTATTGAGTCGGATCATACGCCTTCCCTAGTAGGTTACTCGTATTTGTTTAAACCAATTAGTTAATTTTCCCTTTTCCTTGAAAGTATTTTTATAATTAAACAAAAACCTTTTTAAAACCCTAGAGCTTTTATTTTACTAACATAAAACCAGAAATCTATATCGTCAAGCAGTCCTTGAGATCGACATTCGGGAAAATCCCCATTACTACTACATTGGCAAAATAGTACACTTGTTATTTTTCCGATCAAGTTTTTAGCGCCATTGTCGGGGACTGTTAAAGATCATAGGTTGTATAGTTTTATTTTAGTTAAAGTTTTGTTGCTCCGCAACTAAAATTTATTCTTATTTTTATTTTTATTTTTATTTTATTTTAAAAAAAATTAGATTATTGTTGCTTCATGAATTCTTCTATACCGTGCGACTAATAAAGTTTCTGAGTTGTGAAGTTATGAATGTTTTTTATACATTGCAACCTGTATCTTCTGCATGTTAGTGGCCTGACTCGGGAGTCACTCTGGAAGAGGTGACCAAAATTTTTAAAGCATATCGGAGGGAGGTAAGAATCCTTATGAATGAATGTAAGGAAGCTAACTTGTATCTAGATAAATCTATTTGGTGAGAGTTTAGGTTGGAAGAAGAATGTGTAAAAGAAGAAGAACAAAGCATGACGTCAGACGAAGAAGATGAATTATAAATAGAAGAGTCTGAGGTAAACAAGAAATATGGGGAAGAAGAAATAATGCAACTTGAAGATGATCTAGTGCTGGATGAAAATACAAATGTAACAAAGTGTGTAGATGTAGACATTCAACAA